AACGCAAATCCTCTTTGTATACACTTCCAGTTTTAAGTCAGTAGTTAAAATGACCACAGCGATACTAATGCAGTAGAACCTTTTTTCTTGTTTTGGTCATTTTACTGTCGATTGCTTCTTGGCTAGGTCAACGCGGGATTCGCAAAACGATCCATTAAAAGATGGGACAGTACCCCACTTTATCTGTACCAACTTGCTCCTCTGAATTATACTCAGTACGATTAATTATTCATGTAAATATTTTCTCCCGAGTGTTCAAAATACATAGTTTTGTTTTGTAGACCCAGTGCAGATGTAGGTCTCCGGCTAACCGCCTATCTCACCTTTACGGTCTTACTGAAATAGTTCTGCCAACCATCTGTGGGCCCAGTATTACCTACATTTTGTGTCAATTAAAGGAGGTTCAGGTTGAAATGTTTCATCATCGGACTCGAGCTCAAATTGATATGGTAAAATCAAGGCCATCGTTACAGTGTGTACAATCGTTGAGGATTCAGGAAGCCTCTGGAACTGACATTCAGATTTGGTAATGGACATTTCAGACACACGCTGTTGAGTTAAGTTAAGACTAGTTCTCAGAACGGCGGAAGGGGCTTAGAGAAACTGAATCAGAGACTGAGACTGAAAACGAGTCGTTTAAGAAATCTCCTTTTTACTTTAAATAACAATTTTAGTCTACAAGTGAACCCCATTCAAATAAATACAAGCGTGAGCCAACACTTTTGAGAGGTGCTCAGGCTAGGTGAGGAAATATGAATTTTGCTCGTCCTATGCGACTGTATAAGAGGAGTTTGGAAGAGGAGGATGTCGAACTCACTATACGAAGCAGCATGTCAACAAATTCAGCACTTGTATCTGTTTTCCTGCATTTAATTTCCTCCATTTTGAGGAGGATACTATCCATGACACAATCTTCATTCCAATTCAAAAGATTTCAGACTCCGTAGTGATCACACACTGGTGTCGAGAGAGACATCCTCATAAAGTCACAATCCCTCGTTGGTGTTTTTGCTCTCTTTTGGTCTTTTTATAGACTGAGGAATTAAAGCCATCACCTTAGCAACACTGTGTACGTGGGTGGGTTTTATGTGTAGCTCCTACATATTACTGTGAAAAATAAATCTTTATGAAGGGGGGGGGGGGGGGGTACAGAGCCATTCAGGCTTTTCACTTGCCTTTTGTTTTCCTCTATAGCACAAGCCTTGATTGAATGATCAGCGCTAAATAGACAGTAAACTGGTCTATCCCCAAATCTATCTTGAGTTATATGAAAATATATAAAAAAAACGTTAATACTCTCAGCCTGGAGTTCATTGTTCATCCTTACTATGATCCTTTGCAGCTAATGACAGTGACTGCTTCCTTCCACGGTCGAGATGGAGAGTCCCTGAGATGCCAACACCTCACCTCCTCCACAGAAACTGCAAAAACTGGCTTAAAAATACACTCCACTCACAAACCATGAGTCACGCAGAACACCCGTTTCGGTCGATGCCGGTGCGGATTCATTCATGCCATGCTTTGCAGGACAATGGGAGACATCATCACTGTATAAACAGCCCAGGTGACATTCTCTGCATGGGCAGTTATTTGTGAGAGGAGTTTGCTTTTAAGCCACTGGCAAGGGGACAAGAACACACTTAAAAAAGGGCAGAAATAAATGAGAGCAGAGTGCTAATATAGTTTTAATTCACTCATTTTTGAGTACGAACACAGAACACAAAATCTGGAAGAGAAAAAGAAGGTCAGCACCGTCAGAAACAAAAATGTGCCAAATATTAAATACAGACAAACGTAGCATTAACTTTAGTGAATCAACTGAGACTTGTCTGGACATCATAGTGGGGTACACTCTTAGAAGAAAAGGTTCTATATAGAACCATAAAAGGTTCTATCAGCGCTACGTATTTGGAACCCCTAAAAGGTTCTATACACTCTTAAAAAAAGGGTTCCTCTGGGTTCTATATGGAACCCTGAGGTTCCATACTTGGCCAATAGAACCTTTTACCAAAAAAAACGGTTCTATATAGAACCATTTTGGAGTTCCATATATGAAGCGGGAGATGGAACCATTTCTGGTTCTAAATAGAACCATTTCTTCTAAGAGTGTACACTCTTAGAAGAAAAGGTTCTATCAGCGCTATGTATGTGGAACCCCTAAAAGGTTCTATACACTCTTAAAAAAGGGTTCCTCTGGGCTCTATATAGAACCCTGGGGTTCCATACTTGGCCAATAGAACCTTTTACCAAAAAAGGGCCACAGAAAAAAGGATGAGTGAGGGCCGTGTGGAGAACACCGCGAGTCATGTTTACTGTGGCGACTGGCGAGCAGGACGACTGAGGGCCATGGGAGAACCGCGCGAGGCCGGTGGCGTTATTAGCAATGAGCAACACCAGTGAGACGGTGTTGCTCATTGCTAATTGCTAACGGCTTTTATCTCTCACAAAGAAGCGCGAATTTTCTTAGAAATGTTAAAATGCTCATCAACCGATCACTTGTTTAACATTCACGTAAACACTACATTCAGATTCACCAATCAGAATCAATTCAGTTAGATTGAAACAAAAGCTGTGCATGTAAACCAGGGTTTCTCAAACTCTGTCCTGGAGGGCCACTGTCCTGCAGAGTTTAGCTCCAAACCTGTTCAAACACACCTACCTGGACCCCTCCAGGGCCGAGTTTGAGAAACCCCGATGTAAATAATGAATGGCGACTACTGAAAGCAAAAGCTGAATCCCGGACATCAACGGCCAGACATGTCCGGGAAAAAGAGGATGGTAACCCCTACTACTCAGACTTCTACACAGAACAAGAGCCTGCTACCTTAGCTTCCAAAAAAAGATGGCTGACACTATGTTAATTTACAACAATGTCAATATCTATTGCAGAACAAATTTATGCCTTCCTTTATTTTTTCCTTGTTTCACTGGTCACTGAAAAACATCAGCAAAATACGTCTATCCTAAATACATTTTCTCTTTGACAGCTGCCATCTGTCATCCCTATCTAAGCAGTGTGTCGGGTATAATCCACACAGTTTGACATGTAGGAAAGTTAAGAGGTTCGTGATTGTGTTGTAAAGCCAGACGGATGGCATTATGAAGTCTTAGAGATACCCTCTTTTTAATCATGAGGAACTTTTACAATAGCTTTCCAATTACAACTGGACCTCAAGCTGACATCAATTAATGTGACCTTTGACAAGATCATGGAAAGCTGAAATGTGTGTATATGTTGGAATTTAAAATGGACTGAATGTGTTGCCAAAACAAAGGTGTTAACCAAAAATAATTCATCATCATTTATATAAATAAACGTAATATTCATATTAAATAGTTTATATAAGTATGTGAAAAATATAATCTATATAAATACATGTTGTTGTGTTTTTTGCATTTAAAGTGGAGTAAATGTTTACAAAGCAATAAGCTGTGTCTGAAATCGCTCCCTATCCACTATATAGTGCACTATATCGGGTGTCGGCCATTTTGTAGTGGTGTCCGAATTCTGAGTGAACAACATCATTCCCTACATTCATTCACTACTTTTACCCACAATCCTCTCTGAATTCGAGTGTACATTCGATGTACACTTGCTGAAGCCCTATTTCCCACAATCCAATGCGGAGAGAACTGTGATTACATTACATCCAGTGGAGGATTTGAAAAATATCCGTTAATCGTCGTTTTGAATATAATAACGGTCGCCGGAGGGCGCTCGACGACACGTCATCTGTGAACGTGAGAGTTAACAGACGATTTCAGTCGATGAAACTACAAAGCTGGCACGGAGGTATAATTACAAAATAAAGTCATTATGATTGTTATTGTTGTTAATATTATTTTATAAAGTAGGTAATGTAAGATAAAAGGAGTTTTATCAGTACGCGTGACAAAGCCTTTTCTGCGACAGCTCCAACTCTCCGACGCACAGTGTAAACGTCAGCGTCCGAATTCACTCACTTCATCTCGTTCACTCCTTGCAGATATAGTGCACTCAAATGCCATACACTATATATGGATTAGTGAATGAGTGAACGAGTGAGCGGTTTCAGACACAGCTATAGTGTTCACCCCAAAAGAAACACACAAAAATCTTAAGAATGAGAGTAGTCCCACCAACTCATAAAACGGGACCAGCCCTACTGGTTTTCCTCAGCAGTGTATTATAAAACATAAACATCAGCAAAAAAAACGCCTCATTCCAGAAAAAGCTACCACCAACACCTCACCTCCAGAATGACCTGAGGCTCTCCGAAAAGCAGGTTCATGCTGTGTTTACTGTGCAAACACCAATGCAATTTACTTTTTTAACAAAGTAGCAGGTGAGTGCTGACAGCGACCTGTTTTGCCTCCACTGAGATGCCCATTCACACACAAAGAATGCACAGCGACTTCTCACACCAAACCGTTTGGATGCATAGAGGCTCCCCTTAAGAACGTCATAAGTGATACTTAGTCATGGCAGCATGGTTTATAAAAACACCCCATTCATTGTGGCCACATGGGGAAACACCTTTCCTTCAAAAGAATTTCAAGCACTTATCAGTAGTGAGAAAACAATTTCACTTAGTTGAGACCCCCATGACAGTAAAAATAAGACAAAAAATGAACTTTGATTTGGCCATATTTATGCGATGGGATAAACTAGCCATGAATGTTTGATGAATGAATTTGCAGTGCACAAATATTGGTAGCCTGCCACTGGTTTTATAGGCCAATTTGTGCATCTCTCATCCATTCCACAGGGAGCTATTAGTGCAAATGAAACTGTAATCTTACAGAAAACATTTTACACCACACTTCCTAAAGCAACTCGCATCCACCAATATTACAATAGAGCACTGCTTCATTAAACCCACAATCCCAGAGAGCAAAATTGAGGTAGAAAGTAAACCGACGTGAGCCTAAACATGCATTTCAACAATGTCTTTGAGCTACATTAATGATGCAACAGTTGCAAAGGAAAACAAACCCATGAAGCCTGTGTGTGTACATACCGGTGGACTTCCATTTTCGGAGACTGGGCGCATCTCTCATTCAGTATGAAGCCGGACACCTTGCATTGTGCAGCAGACTGGAGCTGCATGGCTTCCCCCGGCTCCGAAGCTGCGGATTCGATCCCAATCACACACGCCTATTCATCGCGTTCCCTCTATTCAGAATGCATCGGTGATTCATTATTTAGAGATGGGCGCAAGTCAGCGGCGCTTCTCCATGCTGCTCGCGTACACAATCCCGCTTTTCACAGTGCTGGACGGTAACCTGGCAACAGGCATTTGAGTGCTCACAGTTGTTAAAGGAGATCACGTTTGGGAAGATGAAATTGCTACGCTGTGTTAATACTGCTCAACTGAGCAGGCTTTTTCCCGCCCTGCCTCTCTCCCTTTCTCTCTCCCTTGCTCTGGTCTTTCCTACCCCCACCCTCCTCTCTCTTTATTCTGTGCTGCTCGGTTTCAATAGTGATTTATATTTACTGGCTAAGCTTTGTTTTGAAGCAGCATGTGCATGCAGTGATCTGCGCAGTATGAGGTAAACATCATTTCAAACGCATGATATGCAAAACGCTAGCCTAAATATTTAATGATTGAGAGGTAGCTTTGCCATCAAAAAGAAGGAAACACTTAATTTTGGCCTTAAGTGACCTCCCAGGTCTCAAACATAGTTTAAGTATATCCGTAAATGTGAGTGTTAAGCGCTTACGTTGGCCTGCCAGTACTCAAGGCCAAGGGGTCGCTAGAGTTGCCATTATGTGTTAGTATTCAGGTAAGTTGATATATTGACTTAAAGTTGATAAAAGATTTTTTTCAAAACTGCCCAGGGCTGGGCGATATGACCAACGATATCATCACAAAAATTCATCCCACTGATGGCGAAGCATTCAACATGTTTGTTATGTATACTCTACAAAGCTAGCTACCTTTTAATTTAAGGCACTATAAAATCCATAATATTATTTCGCGATTGATTGAATACAAATTTATTATCAAAAATGCTGTCTAATGAAATTAGTAGTAGCACTGTAAAATTATTGTTGGTTTAACTTTATCTAATTGCCTTAAAATGTTGAGTTCGTTGAAATAAAAAAATGAGTTAATAAAATGAAGAATATTAGTTTAAATCAACAGAAACTTTATCACATTATCTAAGTTGATTTGACAAAAGATAAAAAGTTGCTTAGTGATGAGCTGTTTTTTGGTGACTACTACAATTGACTCTTCGCTAAGCCCCGCCCTCCCTAGTTACTGTTGCTACGCCTGTCAAGCTTTCGCGGCTGGCCCATCTATTATAGTGTGGATGCACCCGGTGTCAGACATTCCCAATGAGATAATTAGTAATTTTCGGCGAACAAGTGAAATATCTGAGAGAGCAAGACAAAAGGGACTACAGTATGCATTCGAGGGATATATTCACGACATTATATGCAACCGATTAGAGAATAATTTCTTAAAAATTGAAGTTAAAGCCTAACGTTATAGTCCCAGCGCAAGCAGCAGCGCCTCATACGCTGACCGTTCAAATGGAAAACACAAATTGAGGAACAGCTGTGTTCATCCACAGCAGGGTATGTGAAAATAATCTTAATAATTATAAATCAAACAGCTTATCAATAAATCTTGTGGAATAATAACACTAATACCGGGAGAGCCGCGATCGGATTGGGTTAAGTTACTTAGTAAGGGGTAACGTTAGTAGGACGTTGATTAACAAAATGCTGAAATATATTTTAATGTCAGTGAGCCTTTGTCTCGTCTCTGACTTTAATCGTCTTATTTTACGTTATCATTATGACCAAAGAACCGTCAATATTTCCAAGCAATAGGTGTTTTTGTTAAGCATGTCGACATTTACCAGAATGGGTCTCGCACATATGCTAGATCGCACCAATCATTTCTCCCCTTGGCTTTTAGATTTTCTGGAAGGAAAACAATTCCTCTCCCCCGTCCAAACTTTTAGTATACCGGTATCAGATTTGCACAATCCATGATACGCACAATGCTTCAGCATGTTCCCTCGTTCGAAAGCTTGCCAGACCTCCCGCACATAGTTACGGTTGCTAAGACATGATTGGCCAGTGGCGGTTTTCGGGCGTGGCTTAGCGAAGGGTCAATTAATACGTCACAAAAAACCTTTGAGTTTTTAGCAACACGTATTCGATCGTTTTAATGTAGGTCAAATCCCATTTATCATTGGTATTGTGAATTTCTCTTTCAGAAATATAGATTTGATTGCTCAACGCTTCATCCTGCCATTACAGTAGTGCACCTTATAAAATGCTATGAAATCTAGGCTAACAACCCTGATCTGATACGCTTGTGTTGATATGGTAACGTTTGTGTTCACATACTTGTATAGGGTCTGGGCCTGAGTCACTCATTAGAGAAAGACAATACATCGATAATATGCACTATTGTTTAAAACATTTAATATAATTCCTTTAAATTTAACATTTTGCATGGTACTGCACCTTCAAAAACAGAATTGACCAGCACACTGGTACTGGTTCAGCTTTGTTCCAACTGCTGGAGGCCAAAGAATGAGCAATCAATCTACACAAAATTGCAGTGCGCTACCCTGTTCTCTAACATGATACAAAAGTGCCACCGAGCCGAAGAAAGCAATAAAGTCAAATCAATTCAATTATTTACTTATTTGAAAGCATGATCTCTGAGCAGTAAAACAGGGAAACATGTGACAGATGCACTCTGGGACCATGTGGTTTGGTGCATGGCACAGATCCTGTGGTTTGCGATTGTCTGGCTTGTCTCCACAGGAACAGATGGGTGTGAGTGACAGGTCAGGTGCAAAAGAAGGGCCTTGTCATTTTTGAGGGAGGGGTTCAGCGCGCCGACGCCTGATCATAATGCACGGTCACGCTCCGAGCGTCCAGTCTGTAAACTTGGCAATTAATCACTCGGGCACTGACGAGGGCAGCACCGGTCAAGGACCCACCCAAATCAACAATCACTGACAGGGACGGGTTGACAGCAAGAGCAATCAATATGACTTTGACGATTTTCAATAGGGCTGTCAAGATACCAAACTTTTAGTAGTCAAAACCAGTGGAATTTCAAACTAATTGCCACAGCAAATATGCTAATAATATAATAATAATAATAATTGAATTATTGAATTGTATTATAATTTTCATCATCATCATTTCAACACTACAGCAAGAATATAAATCTAATGCAACATTTAATAATAACAACAACAACAACAACATTTGGTTGTTAATTCACCTTTTAGTACGTAATTACTGTTTTGTCCGCAGGCCACACACAGTTCGGTAATCAGTGAGAACTGCATTCTACAACCAAATTAACTAAAATTCAGGTAGTGTCACAGCACTTACAAAATTTCTATGTGGTGTGTATCCAGAGTGATTGCAAGAAAATCACAGGGTTAGAGGTATGAGCTTTGATTGCCAGATCTTACAAAAATAAACAGTAATCAAAAATCGGCCCAGAATAAAACTAAAATAAATCTAAATGATTTATATTTTCAATAATACCAAAGTATTGTGACCTGCACCAAGTCCAAACAACATGGCCAAAATGCTTATAATTAGTAGACATAGCAACACTGCAACGAATGAACCCTCCACTGATGCACTGAACTCAAGTCACCATTGGCTAGTAAATGTATCTTACTCACCAGACTTTTTACATGAAATGCCAGAACAATACAAATGGAAAAAAACTACATTAATAGTTTTAGAAATTTATATTTTATATTTAATATTATATTTAAGTAAACAGTCTAACAAATTAAGAACATAAACTACAAGCAATAGAACAAAGATACATATGAAATAAACAGGTTTTACAGGTAGATCTAACAACAGTAGTTAGATACATATTAGGTGATTATGTAAAATGAATTAAGTAAATCAAATGTAAAAAAATAAATAAAAACACTGTCACTGAATAGTCTGCACTGTATAAATTAAATATAGATGAACCCTTATTATACAGTAGTTATTCTGTGAAGTGATATTTTTGCAGTCAGTCTTTTGCTTGATTAACATTAAAAACACAGACAGTAGCAGGAATATTAGGCTGCCGTCACTTTAGGGATACAATATATTGATACTGTACACATGCGTTTTATCTCTCGACGGTTTATTTTCACTTACCAAAAAAAACGACTGTTTACTAGTATACTCACCAAGTCAGTCATTTTCTCATAATTTTGTGTGAAATTGTCTGTTCAAGCAGAAGACGATGTGAAAGAGAGCTCAATTCAGTATTTGCGTGCTGTCAGACGTTGCCTTTATTAAAGGGATTCATTTCACTGCCATATTTAAATGCAGTTGTGACTCCTGAAATTTTATATTTATATGTGGCCAGGCCACAGTCTATCTAGATAGAATACAAAAATTGGGAGTACACTGCATGAGCTCCATGCTGGCAAATTTTACAAATTGTTGGGCTGGATTTAACACTTGCTGAAAGCAGAAAATGTTCACTCTTATTTTCCATTTCATTAATGGAAAAGCCACAACTGTTTCAGACCATTGAGTGTTATATCGCACTCCAGTAAATGTGCAAGTCAAGCACAGTCACAACAGACTCTCCCGTTTTGAGAGCAACGCAACAATGCAGGAATCAATTAGCTACTCTGGACCTGCGAGCATGACGCTAATACGCTATGAACTACTTCAACAGTAAATGTAGACCTTTCGAATCTCACATAGACTTGTCAGGCGATGAGAGCCACCTGCAGCACCAGGTTCCCGTGAGTGGGTGGCGCAGTCGGGTCAGGCTGGGAGAGTGTGAAACCTTGAGCCGCCATCGGCGGAACACATGGTGCATGGGAGGATGCATGCAACACCTCTGCTTATAAACCACATGTCCACAGGAGGCCTGGCACAGCCATTTGGAGCTTTATGCCTCTGCAGGCACTGACAACACCACCATAGAACCAGTTTGGGCTTGTCCCTTTCTGTCAAACCCACTGAAGTCACTTTATGAGTGTCTTCAATTCTCTATAGAAAGGCATAGTGGTTAATCATAAATGCATTGGTTAACCCAACCATGGCCATAAAAAAAGCTCCAAAACAATGTTCCTTTTATCTAAAAATATGAGAACCCACAGTCATGTCTATAATTTAGATATATTGTGATTTCGGGTAAATATTCACTCTGGCAAATGACTAGATTCTAGGGCTGCATGATTAATCATATTTTAATCGTGATAACAATATCTGCTGCTCTCGATTAATTACAAATAATCGCCGTCAAATGGGCCTGGAGGTTATCTGTCCTGAAAAACTTTGACAATTTGACATTTCCATTATCTTGCATTGGTAACGAGCCTCCACTTTCTTTCCTGCTCTGGGTT